GCGAGTCTGCATATGTCAATAGAATTACACCTGCCTGTAATGGGTTTACATTTGGCCCTCCAGCCCTGGGGATTCCTCTGGGAGCTGAAGCTGGATTAAATATTAAGGGCCTCATTCTCCACCCTTGCCGGCGCTGGAGTAATTAAATAGCGGCCGAGGAGCGCGGGGCGCCCCTGGGGAGCGCGCGGCCGCTTTGCTCCTCGCGGACCCGCCACCCCGCAGCCGACGAGCCCGGGCATTAACTATGAGCCAAACAACCTGGGCACAGGCAGCAAATGGTCTAAAATCAACCACGTGTGACAACCGCTTCCCAGGCCTTCCTATCTGCAAAGGGAACGGGGCTGATGGGCGGTTTGCAGGCGCTTCCTTGGCGCTCCCGTGTCTATCAGCGCCACGGACCGTCTCTCCTCCTCGGCATGGAGAGCCCTTGGAGTCAGACCTGCTCTTCCACACCTGGAGCAAACACATTGCTGCCACTGCCACCTCCGTCAAGTTAATTTGGTGATTAGTTAACTCTGGCTATTTACCAACTAGCTCCTTTTACCCGGCCATACACGAGGGTTACGGCCAGCGCCTGCTCTCGCGCCTTGCAGGCTGGAGAAAAACGACGTCAGGTTTTTCTTTCCACGCCGAGCACTTTAGAAGTGTGACGACCTGCAGCGGGCTGTTATTCTTTCCAATTGAAACCTAATGACGCGTGCATATCGCTTAACTCCGATGTCAATAATCAGCACAGCACTCGCGCTCTGCCGGCGCTATTAGAAGGAATGAAAATGAAATACCCACTCCTTTTTATCCTGTTACCATGCCATAATAACTAATAAAGGAGCAATAAGTGAGACACGGGGGATTTCCAGGGGAGTCATTACTATGGAAAAGACATGTAGCCTCTCAGTGAAATCCAGGACTATCAGCCAGTGCTCAATTGCCAGGCAGGGCTTCTCACTTAATATTGCTGGATTAAGGTAAGTGTGGGCTGCAAAAAATAGTGTGTGGAAAGTAGGGTCTGTGCCCGGCCGGAGGAGCCAGATGGAGACAGACAACAGCATCTCATGGATCTCACCTAGGATCCATTACATGGGAAACATTTCCCAGGAGAGCTCAAAACTGCCCCTATCCTGCCACAGGGCACATCCCGGGTTGTGCAGGGGTTGCTAAATGGGACAAGCCCCATAAAATTGCAGAGCAAGCGGTCCAGATAATTCATACAACAAAACTGCAAGCAGATGAGGTTGCAAACCACGTGCCAGAGAAGCAGCACATTTCCTGACATAGAAATTCCTGTATTCTGGAGTAGGAGGGAGCAGTTGGTGTTTGGCAGCCATATCCATGGGGGCAGTGGGAGCTCATGGGTTTTCCTCCCCATGAGCAGACTGTCGCACGTGCCAATAACCTGACACTGCTTGGGGACCATCCCGTGTCCCAGCAGCCGCCCAGGCTGGGCCTTCACCCGCTGTGGGTTTATCCAGCCCTCCTTTCCCTGCCCCTTGGCATAGCCACAGGACTGGTTCTAACCACACCTTGGTGCTGCTGGCAGCCCCTGTCCGGCTCCCCATGCTAATTCCCTGCCTTGCCAAAGAAAAGCTGGTTTGGTTAAATCCCAAAGCACATTCCCACCATCATCACAGCATTTCCCGGCCATCTGATTACCCATCTCCGAGTTTTCTGCTGTGTTTATCCTATTAATTCCAACCTCCCCCTCTTCCCCCAGCACACACACACGCACCACTTCATTTCCAGCATCTCTGCCAGCAGAAGCCTCCCCAAAATACCAGGGCGCACAGCGAGAACTTACACGTGCAGGGAAACCCTCGTGACTAGAGCTTTTTTTTTTCCTCCTCAAGCAAACATGAGCTCATGATTCTTTTAAGCCCTTAAAAAAAAAAAAAAAAAGGAGAAGAAGAAGAAGAGGAGGAAAGAGAAAGGAGTGGCACACCCGGGGCCTCCCGGTTATCTAACCGGCGGCAGCACATCCCGCCCCGCCGGAGCATCGCTGCTCGCAGCCTCCTCTTCCCCGGGCGCTGTCTTTTATTTTATTTATTTATTTCTTTTTGCAGCCTCCTCCCTCCCCGCCCCGCTCGCATTTCCTCCCCTGCACCTTTAAGAAGCACATTGCTCGCCGCTGGGATGCCGTGCGCTCGAGCTGCCCAGAGGAAGTTACGCAGCGCGGATCAGGCGCGCAGATAAAAGCTCCGAGCGTGATTGAAAGTGAGCGCAAAAGGGATTTCGGCCGCGGCTTTAACTTGCGCGGGGAGCCGGGGATTGAACAAAGCTTCCCCCCGGCCATCTGCCCTTGGGGCCGGCAGCCGAGCCGGGGGGGCTCCGGCCCCGAACTTCACTTGCGCGCCCGGGACCCGCCGCTCCCTCCCGGTAAGGACGGGCGCGCAGCCAGGCGCGGAGGGGACGGGGGGGGGGGGCTCTGCTAAAGCGGGTCCCCAGCCCCTTCCCTGAGCAGAGCCCCGCACCCCCACCCCGAAACGGAGCCCGAGCCCGCGGAGCCCGAGCGGCCGCTCGCAACTTGGCGCGGAGGCTGCGCGGGGTGCGCGGAGCGGCCGCGCTGCCCCCGGGGAGCTGCCCCAAGGCGCCTTCGGCTCCGCAACCCTCCCACGTCGCGCTGTCACCCTGCCCTGCCCGGGAGCAGCATCCCCGTCCATGCACCAACCTATATATTATTTATATTTTATATATATCCCCCCCCGGGCGGAGTTTCAAGAGCCGCCCGCTTTGCAAAGCGGGCTGCTTTCCCCTTTTGCGTGACTTTTAACACAGTCTTTCAATTATCTCGAAGTCCTCTAGCGTAAGAGGAACCTTAGGGGAGGCAAAGGAGGGGGAGAAAAGTAGCATCAATTTGTCCGGAACCACAAACGCGTTAAGGGAGAGCAGCTCAATGCGAGCGAGATTTACAGGTTTTTCTGCTGGGAGCGCCGCTCTCCGCTGGGGTTTGCGACGTTGTTCTTGCAGTTCATTGCCCTGTCACCCTGAATGCAGAGCGTGTGTCTCCTAACTCGTGTGTAAGAGATGAGGGGAAAGAGAGAATCGGCAGGGGAAAAAAAGGGGGGCAAAAACTCCTCACATTTCAATCGGCGTGCGGAGAGGGGGGTGCTTGGGGGTAATTTTTAAGGCAACAGCTCTAAGAAAATCATTAACTCGCGCATGGAGTTCACTTTCTGCCCTTAATTCCAGAGCAGAGTTGTTGCTCTGTGTTGCCTCTTTATTTCAATTGGGTGCTAATCCAATAGAAGGAGAAAAAAAACCAGCTAAGTCGAGATGCAATCTAATTTTGTGTTTTTAATACTCTGGCTATCAGCCCCTTGTGATTGCCGAGTACTCTTCAAAGAAACCAAAGCGCATCGATTCTATTTGTTCCCACAAATTGCCATTTCTTAATAACAACGGGTGGAGATTTATTTTCTAAGGAGCAAACCAAGCAGAGCAAAACCTCTCATTCCAAAAGCCTTTCCTTTCCCCGTTTGCGATGTGCCAGCCTATTTTAGAGCAACCTGGTGCAACTATTTCTGCAAAGGAACTGTAGCGTGCTGCTCTTGGCACTGCCGACTTCACAGGGAACCCGCATGATTGACTGTCTGCAAATATATTTTCAGGCAAATTTTTATTTCCCTGGGAATCTATGACATTTAGCAAGCATAACAAGAAACTAATAGATATTATAGATCCAGTCTTCCTTGGGGTTTTCCCCCGACAGCCGTTCAAGTGCAAAATGTAATTTTTAAGGCTATGGAAATAGATCCGTAAACTTAACGGCACTTGAGTCCTCATTAAAACAACCCAGTTTGTTTTAGACACAATACTGAAGTCTCACCCGCTCTCTTATCAGGCAGTTGGCTGTGACCAATTTGATGAAATAATTAGGAACTGACTTATTATAACTGAAAAGACAGCTCTGATGTCAGCGGGACTTAAAAACACTCTGTGTCACACCGTTTTATTATTTTTACTACATTTACTCATAATGTAAAAATAGCAGCCAGACTATTCTTTCTCGGGAAGTTTATTCAGGTCCAATGCAGCTATAATAGGTTCTTCTTTGAGGGCTTGAAATGAAGCATGAGAGATGGGTTCCCTCCTCTGAACTCATTCATCTCCATCAGAAATCTTGCAACCCAAAAGGGGGAGAAAGGGGAGACGGCAGCACAGCAGTAGGAGCCCCCCTTAACAGGGATCAATGCATCCGTTAACCCGGAGTTTCCCAGGGTAAAGGAGCTTTATGAGGAAGCATCTGCTCTACACGCGGGTGAAGCGGCCGTCTCCGAAATCTGGACAGAAAAGTTGAGGAATCAAATAAAAAGGGAATTATCCAGAGCTGGATTTCTGTTCTGGTTATACACCTCCCACCTTCTCTTATGAGATCTGTCTCTCCTGGATCTAATGCTGAGGGATAGCTCCACTTGGCTTTTTTTTTCCCCCTCCCTTGGCGTTTTGTTTAAGATTTTTATAGCTCTGTTGGAAAGAAAGACAAAATTGCAGAAATGTTGCTTTAACCTGAAATGAACACCGGGGAGGTCATTGCTCTTTGTGTGCTAGGTGAACCTTCAATATTATTAGTACTTTAAATTGTTTTTTATTAAACGTTATTGTTCAGATAAATCATATATGGGGCTGCTGGACAATGTATCTGTCTCCCTAGCTGTCTTATTTATTTGCTTATCTTTTTAAGGCTATCAATTTGTCTGTCTGTCGCTGGCCCGCGTCTGCATATTCTCCATCTCCTAATGACCTATTGTTCCTTCTTGATATTATTTAAAGACCCATTAGAGCTATTGCTGTCCAGCTGCCCTGAAAACAGAGCAGAGCCGCTAAGTGGGGCCCACCAACCTCCCCAACAACAGCTCGCCCATAAGCATCTTGCTATGGATTTCTTTTTATTAAAGTTGTATATCTCCCTCTTGTGAAAGGTCCGCGCTTGTCCTCGGAGACCAGAGCCTGCTCGTCCCAACCACCCCCCGCTTTGTCCCCGCTAATTCCTCTTCCAATCTATTGCAGGTGGCTCCTGCTAACGACGTCCCCCTCGTCCCCACCATGAGAGGGGATCAAGCCCTCAGGTAGCAGCGGGGCCAGAGCCAAAGACCTGGGGAACTTGCTGCTAAGTTGCCCCAAGGCACCAGGGGACAGAGGGGCGAAGGTGGAGGAGCAGCAAGCAAGGCTGATGCCGCTCGCATCCATCAAATGACCACGGAAGAGCCGGCTCGGAGCCCCTGCAGGTGCTGCCACCCAATGCAGTAGCATCAACACAACCGCCCTCGGCAAGGCGGGAGGTCTAGCTCCAAAGAAGCTCCCTTGCCAGAGCCGTATTGATGAGCAGATGCTATATTTGTTCTATGAATTAATACTCAAAAAAAAAATAACCCCAGTAATTATTTAAAGGAGACCACAGGTTAAAGCACTCGCCACGGCAACGCATTTGCACCAGATGAGAAGGTTGCGGAAAACCTGATCCAGCCCCATCTCACAGCCTCTCCAATCTACTCCTATCGAATTTCATCAGCAACTCAGAACTTGATCTTTTCTATTGATTGACTGGAGTCACCTCTAGATATTTTCATGCTGATTTGGAAGACCTCTCATCCAACAAAGAGAAGGATGAGGTTAAGGCAGACTTTGGACCACTGATCTGCAATTCTAGCCCAAACTTTCCAAGCCAAGTGATTTGCAAAGTTGGCTTCTGCCTCGGGAGCAGCTTTCCGTGCCCGAACACCATGTGGAAAATGGGGTCGTTCCTGCCGTCACCTGGATCTCCTTAGGCGGGATCACTTTAGATGAGGAGTTTCCATGCTGATCCCGAGGGCACCCCCTAGCCCAGTAGCTGCCTTTCTCGGGACTCTCGGTGCTGTCCTCGCCCGGGGCCCCGGCTTGCGGTGCCAGCTGCCATGTCCTACCTGGTGGCCCTCCTTTTGCACTGGCTGCCCCTGGCCATGGGGCAATATGACATTTGCAAGTCCTGGGTGACCACGGACGACGGCCCCTCGTGGGAGTTCTACGCCTGCCAGCCCAAGGCCATGCGCATGAAGGATTACGTGACGGTCAGAGTGGATCCGGCGGGAATCACCTGCGGGGACCCGCCTGAGAGGTTCTGCACTCACGTGAGTATTGCCGAGATCTTGGGCTCTGCTGTGGGCGGCTGCACCCTGAGCATCCTGCTGAGATGAAGGACCTCTCAGCTTGGGCACCTCTCAGCTTGGGCACCTCTCAGCTTGGGCACCTCTCAGCTTGGGCACCTCTCAGCTTGGGCTCTTGGCCTCGCAGGGTGCCAAATACCTTGCCTGTCCCCATGCAGTGCCTGTAAGGGGTGGTCCCACGAGCAGGGGATGGTGCCAGCGCGCTAAGGGATGGGTCAAAAGCAGCGCGGGATGTCAGAGCAATGGAAAGGCGAGTGCTGGTCCAGGTGGGCTATCCCTGTGGAGATACCTCCATGCTGCCCAGAGCTCACGCACTGGTTTGCTGGGACGTGTTCACTGGTCCCATCACAGGTCAAGTGTCCTCTCCACCAGGAACGCCAGCACTGGGGGCTGCTGGAGGCACTGCAGGGGCTACAGGAGCAAGGGGAGGGAAAGGGGAGTCCAACACGACCCAAGCTCCCCTTGCTTCCGAGCCTCGACGTGGAGAGACCCTGTGGACAGACACTTGCCCTTGTAGTTAAAATCTTTAACTTATTTTCCCTTAAATATTAATCATTGCCTTTTATTTGGTGCACCGCAAGGCTCCACAGGAGCGTTTGATTTATAATTCACGAGGCTTTGCGTTGCTGAAGAGAGTCGAGAGGGTCAAAACAAAGAGCAGGCCAAGGTGGCCGCGAGTCGCTCCCACGGGCGCTACCGCGGTGGCCCGAAGCCAGGGACGAAGCCTGTCCCTCCCAGGAGGGCTTGCCAGGATGGTCTTGAGGGCTCTCCAGCCTCGTGCGTAACGAGAAGGGGAATTCTCATCCATCCAAGTGAGCAGGAGGGAGGAACAGGCCCAGAGATCCCATTGCCAGCCCTGGCTGGGGTCTGCTACGAAGCCAGGCCACTCGTTGAACCCATGCCTCAGTTTCCCGTCTAGAAAACACACAGCCTAGCAAAACTTGGGCTTTTCTTGGGAAATCCAAGAGAAAGAACATTGCCTTGCCAGCCAGAGAGGCCAAGTGCTCACACTCATCAGGTCACAACACCAGCAAGTACCCAATTCTCCCCAACCCATGTGGTCTCCTCAGAGCTAGAGAAGATCATGGTTATCAGCTTTTCCCTTTATGTGAACATCTGAAAGGAAAGACCAAGTCCAGTCTAGGTGAATTAACCATTGCTAAGCCAGTCTAGGTGCCCAGATTTCCAGCCACCTCTCCTGCAGAAGGGCCACGAGGTGACCACAAGGTGACCACAGCCAGCTTTGCCCTAAGGCCACCGCAAGTGCCAGCTGCCCTTGCCGACCTCTGAGGAACTTCCCCGCTCCTCCTCCTCCCATACAACCTTAAATCAGCTCCCTGCGCCTCTCCATTCAGTCAATACTTAGCTTAAAATATCTCTGTTCTGGGTAGCGGTAGTATTTCCTTGTCGCATACGAGTGCCAAGCGCCGTAACAAGCCCCGCACGCATCCATGAATGAGAATTGCCCAGGAGCACAACATGGATTTGCCGGCATGTCCCTGCCTAACCCCGGAGCAAGCCCAGCCCAGGATTCGTTTTTCCAGCCAGAAACCACCTTTCAGCGTAAAACCCTGGATAAATTTGCCAGTGAGGAAACAAAGCGAGAACACAATAAGGCAAAGTAAATTATTTTCTAGATTTGGCGTTGGTTTGCAAAATCCCCGTGTATTTACCGCCGCCTTTTCTCCCATGTACAACACTGCTGCTATCCCCTGGTGAGGATTAGGGAATTTAAGAAAAGGAATAAGGGAGGTAACACAGGCAGTATTTGGGACTGGAGCCGCCTGGAAAACCCAGGACTGCTCCTATGATAGTGGCCATACAGGGCCACATCCCCGGGCATTGCAGCAGAGGATGCCGAGCGGCCCCTTTGGCCAGGAGAGGCTGGAATGGGCAAGGGAAAAGGCTGTTTGCATCCCAGGACCTATCGACACACAGGCGACGGTGAGCGCAGCCCGCAGCCAGGTTTCACCTCCCCATCCTGGGGAAATCCATGCCGAGCATCGTTATCCCCTTGGAGCATCGTTATCCCCTTGGGGCTGTAATTAGGGCACGGCAGCAGGTGGGACCATGCAGGAGCCCGGGGCAGACGGGCAGAGCTGGCCCAGGGGTCTGTCAGAGCAGCAGCCCAAGGCCAAGTTAAAGACACATAAATGTCCTCGAGGTGCAAGGGGGATGCATCCCTGGCAGGGCTGCTAGGGCTGGTGCAAGAGGAGGTTCCTACATGAGTGCCCTGGATCTCGCGGAGCAGCCGCTGTCCCTGCTCAGGCTCCAGCTCTCCAGCAGGAATTGCCCATCCCGCAGGACCACGCGCTGCATTTTTGCGACGTTTTGAGCTCTTTCTGCAGGTCCCTGGGGCATTTGCGGCAGTTATTCCAAGCACGGTCTTGCCAGCGTTTCGTAGCAGTTTTGAGTCACATCTGGCTGCTCCAGATCCTTTTTGAAGTCAGGGCGGTTGTTTTTAAGTGCTTGAACCCTCTCCCGTTTGTGTCAGGGTCCCCTTGACAGGGTCACCTGAAAAATGACACGTGCAACGCAGCCCAGCAGGGTGCACGGGGGGAAGCAGCAAGAGAGATGGATAAGCAGCTAAAAAGCCAAACCAAGTAAGAAATGCAGCTGCAGGCTAACAGGGAAGGGATCTTTCAACCACAGGCGCCGAGGGAAGGGTGGAATTCCAAGGATCACGACATAAAACTGCTAAATTTGAGTTTCAACAACGGGGAATTTCCTCAAGGAAAAGGGTTGCTCATGGGGGGCCAAGTCCCCACGGGTTTGTGGGGGGCAGGCAAGAAACTTGGTGGGATTTGGCCATGCAACCCAGGCAGGCACCCCCAGGGATGGCACCGTGTGCGCCCTGGTGCGGCTTTGATATCGAGCAGGCGCCCTGGAGAATTTATCTTGCAAGCTTTGGTGTTTTGCATATAATAAAAAAATAAATAAATAATGCAGGTTTCTAGGGCAATCCACATGCAATTGGGGAAAAGAAAAAGGGAAAAAAGCAAGCAAGCAAGCACGCACCCAAAGCGCACTCCCTGCTCACGTTTGCGTCTTCGGTTTCCAAAGCCAGCAAAGAAAAGACACCCAGAGGTGTCGGGAAGCAGTTTGGGCTCCATAGCAGTGATGGGGCCAGCCAGGGTGCAGGAACTGACCCGGCCAAAGAGAGCTGGGCTGGGCCCAGGCGTCCGGGCGCTGCTCTTGGACATGGGGCCAGGCTCTCGGCCGTATCGATGGGCAGGGGGATTTTTGCTCGGCGTCAGCACTGTTTCCCCGGCTAATAGAACTTGTTGATTTTGGCACAGGGACAGGGAGGACGAGGCCTTATTTATTACACAATCAGCCAAATTTGATGTTAGGTTTAGCTAAGGATTCTTAGCTAAACTTTTCTAAGTGGCTTGATTTATAAGGTTTACTGTGAAGAGCTAATTTCTCTTAGGAGACCGGCGGATGCAATTGGAAAAAGCAGACAAAGAGCAGCCACAGGAACGCTTCTCCTTCGGGTCTAACAACTCATCCTGCACACACCTCCGCTCAATCCCAATTTGCAAACAAAGAATTAGGGGGCACCAAAACGCAAATCATAATTTCGACGTTGGGAGGGAAGTGGCATTGCTGGAGCAATGCTCTTCCAAAGCCGTTCCTAAAGATGCAGCTGGAGCAAGCTGCTAAGGGATGGATTTGCCCCTTGTGGCACCCTGGGCAGAAAGAGTAAGAGAAATAGAAAACCAAACCCAGGCAAACAGGGGCCAGAAAGGCTGGGCAGAGTGTGCAGCCTTTGGGTTTATTCCATAGAAACAACCAGGCTTTGTGGTAAGACCAAGGGAAGTTGCTTCCCGGGGGAAGTGAATCCTTCTCCACCTGGATAAGTCCAGCTGGATCTTGCCATGCACCTCGTTAGCTGCCCAGCTAATTCCCATCCCCTCCAGCAGAGAGACCCAGGCACTACAAGTACTTGAGAAGCAGCGGCTTTACAGAAAATGAGGGAATATGACTCAACTTCACACGGGAGCAGCAGCGAGCGGGATTCCCTGCACACTCCATAGCAATCTCCGTGAATGTCCAGATTGGGACTTGCCTCGTATAAAGACAACTAGTGCTCTGCTAACAAGAGCTGCCCTGAGGATGGAGGAGGCACCGCGATACCACCCTAATTGCACATGTTTCCTTGGCACTTGGAAGCTTCCCCTGCCTCAGGAGAGATGGAAATGGAATGGAGATGGGACCAAAGGGCTTGTGAGGAAGGGATGTTCTCTGAAAGGAAGAGCAGGCACTGCTGGGATGACCAGAGCCTTGCTGAGCACCAGCTGCAAACTGCCTGCAGCAGCACCCAGGAACCCGCGTCCTCCTTCCCAATGGATCAGCCGGAGGGATTAAAGGTGACCCCGAAACCCGTGCACAGGAGCACGAGGCTGCCACGGGCTCGGTGCTGCGCTGGCCCAGCCCTTTGCCTCGTCCTTGCCTCAGTGGCCGTCTGGGTGTTGCGTACAGGGGTGTCGCATCCTTGGGGATGCTGTTTCTGCCTGCAGCCAGCCTACACACACAGCGAGGCACAACCGTGCGCCGCTTCGAGGGGCGAATCCTCAACGTGGTTTACAGCAGGACAGATTCGGTGCAAAGTGGACAGAAACCAGCTCGGCTGCGTTAGCTCCTCGCTGCTAAGGGACGTCCTGGAGGACAAGATCCTGCTCCCAGCCAGGATGGCTCAAGTCTGGCACCCAGTGCAGAGCCCAGGCTCTCCACCGCACGGATGCCTCCTCATACACATTACCCTTAAAACACAGACACAGGGAGAGCAGCTAAATATTCACCAACACTTTCAGCAGCAGCAACAAGGGGACGCAGCCGCGGAGGCTTTGGGCAGCAGTGCCCTCCCCAAGGAGCCTTTTCCAGGGGGATTCTCCTCTGCTCCCCTCCCGCTCCACCATCGGCCTCCATATCCTGCCCTGCCCCCTTCCAAGCAGCCCTTC